AAATTCACTTTATAACAACGCCCTTCCACCTCCACTAGACATCTTAAACAAACCTCAGAAGTCAAAACAGACCCTGAAGCTGGGGTAGAAACGACTAGATCCACACACAAGGAACTCACAACCAAATTTAACCTTGCCACACATTCATAAGAAATAAAAGAATGTGAAGCACCAGAATCAAATAGAATAGAAATATCATTACCATCAGCTTTGCCCTTTCCCTTTACCAGCTCAGATGACGTTTCAGCTTCAGTACCTGTTAAAGCAAAAACACAACCTGCTGCAGTAGGCCGATCCACTTTCTGGTTTCCTCTAGCTTGAGTATTTATTACATTGCAATCCTTAGCCATGTGACCCACCTTGCCACATTTAAAACACACATAGTCCTTTATAGGACAATCCCTCATCATATGTGGGCCTCCACATCTGTAACATCTAAAACTCTGAACAACTCCTGTAGTAGTAGTCCCCATTGGTTTCTTATTAGCATTCCCCTTCTGAAACTAAGATGGTCTCTTTTGGGGATGTTTCCCCCTTCCAAATCCATATGATCCCTCTAGACCTTTTGCCACTCTATTTCCTCCTTCAAATCTCTCAACTATTTTTGCCTTTTCAACTAGAACTGGGAACTCCACAATTCCCATAGGAACAATAGCCTTCTTCAACTCATACCTTAAACCCTCACTAAACTTCCTGCATCTCCAAGCTTCAGTGATAGCTTGAGAATAGTACCTAGCCAAGTGTTCAAACTTGACCACATACTCTTGTACTGACATATTCCCTTGCTGCAATCTCAAAAATTCAGCTTCCTTAGCATATCTGGAACTATCTGGAAAATATTTCTCCAGAAACACCTTTCTAAAGTTCTCCCAATTCACCACTTCCCCTCTAGCTTCCATCATAGCTTGAGAACCTTTCCACCAGAAGCTAGCCTCACCCACCAACATATAAACAGCATAAACTATCTTCCTCTCCTCAGGACAATGCATCACCATGAAGATTTTCTCCATCTCCTCAATCCACTGGTCAACAACTTCAGGTCCATCAACACCTGTAAATTGAGGAGGATTCCCTTTTTTGAACTCGGACAAGCCCCTATACTCATCAGGTACCTCAACCCTAGCTGCTTCAGCTGCAGCCCGATTGGTCTCCATCTGAGCCAACAAAGTATTTTGTTGTCCAATAGCAGAAGCAATCAGCTCTATAACTTGAGCAATCTGCCACTCATCCACGCCTGAAGAAGGATCAGAATGGTTTCCCCTACCAACCATCCTAATCAAGATAAAAGATCAAGGAACCCATGAGTTTACACTAAAACACATAAGTAATTCCTTTTCAAAATCCATGGCAAATTTTACAGGCCTATAAATATGCAACAACATCAAACAAAAAAAGGGAGAGGCAAGAAGCAACAAAAGAATGATTATATGCCTTGCCCTGGGCTTTTTGATTGGAAAAAAAAGAATGATATCAAGCCCACGAGACAGAGATCAGAGATGAGCATACATAGTCATATGTACAATCTTATATTGTATTTTTATGTCTGTATACTAAGGTGTTCGAAATGTTAGTGATGGACTAAACCTTAGTGAATGTTGTAAACTTATGTATCCTCTCCATGAGAGTAACCCACACACTCAAAATCTCTGTAAAACTAAGGTAGCAAATCGTAATAAGTGTAGGAAATTTCCCAATCCTCTCTGTGAGAGTTATGTAAACACTTGAACTCGACTACACATCTATCATCGTAAAGCTTGAAGAGGCTAGGAAAAAAAATACTTATAAAGCCTGAAGGGGCTTGTCAAAGAATACTCACTACTAGCTAGAAGTGATTGAGAAGAATATGCTAGCGTTGGTGAGCAAAGCCAACGGGCCAGGAGTGGTCAAGAATACTTGGAGAACCTGAAGTGGTTTAAGAATACTAGCGTTGGCGAGTGAAGCCGAAGGGTCAGGAGTGGTCGAGAATACTTGGAGAACCAGAAGTGGTTTAAGAATACTAGCGCTGGTGAGTGAAGCTAGTGGACTAGGAATGGTCGAGAATACTTGGACTAGGAGTGGTTCTAACCTGGGTGGTTCATAATACTCACTACTAGCCTAAAGAGGCTGGGAAGAATATATTAGTGTTGATGAGTGAAGTCAACGGGCCAGAAGTGGTCAACAATACTAGTGTACTTCATTTCATATCTAGTGGAACCCTTCAAGTTGAAGGAGACTAGACGTAGCTCTATTGAGAAAACCAGTATAAAATGATTGCATCCTTTATTTACTTAGACACAAATCTTCCTTACTGATTAAACATTTGTGAAAGACTTTGTCCAGTGTTTATATATCTTTAAAACAACTTTTAGAAAAAGACGCTAACCTTGCTTGACAAACTTATTACATTGAAAGTTTCATCTGCTACTCATCCTCAAACGAAACTATCTTGAAAAGGAAAATGTAAGAACTTCAATTAATATTTTTATGAGACATTTTTCCTAGTGGACGATAAACCCTTCAGACGCATTGATCGTATGTTAAGCAAACTCTACACAATTGTCTGATATTCAAAAGTGCAGTGGACGAAGAGCACTACTCTTGTGAAAACATTTTTAAAATACCTTTGTTAACACACACACATATTCAACCCCCCCTTCTATGTGTTTTTCCGCTAACTTCATTACCCTGATTGCATCCCACGTTTCTTTTGTAGTAGAACAGCTGCAAAACTTGTTATACTCCGTTCTAGATAGAGAGTAGGCAAGTATGTATCTTGCTTTGGTGTTCTGCTGCAAAACATTGTAATCTTCCTGAGTATACTGGCTTTTAGGCTTAGTCACTTCAATGTCACCTTGGGTGATGATTCTCCATAGTTGATACTAGGTAGACTTAACGAACAATTCCATCCTGTCCTTCCAATATGGACAATCTTCTCCATTAAAGGTTGAAGGCCTTGTGAGAGAAACTCGTTCTGGTAGATATTTTCCTTCACTACTTCCTATTCTGGATCTTTTCCTTTGGCACTGTTAGATGCTCAACCCCGTCAAAGGCTAAGCTTTGATACCAATTATTGGAGAAAAAGATACACATTAGAAAGAGATTGAATAGTGTATATCAAAAACTCGTGCTTTTTGCAGTGAGGTAGTGAAAAATACAAACTGATAAAGTACTGGAGAGTAATCAGATGAAGTAATGAAGTAGACGAAATGGCTCAAGTATTTTTTATATGGGTTCATCTCCAACCTAAAGACTATGTTCAGTTCTTAATCTAACTAGATTAAGCTTCATTGTCTTATGCAAGATACAAGTATTCTTTACAAACCACTTCTGGCTAAACACCAAGTATTCTTTACAAGTCACTTCTAACTAAACACCAAGTATTCTTTACAAGCCACAAATGGCTAAAACCCAAGTATTCTTTCAACAATTCTCTCTAGGCTCAAATCGAAGTATTCTTTAGCACAAGCCTCTTCAAGTTCAAACACTAAGTATACTTTTGCACAAGTCTGTCCATGCTTAACCCTTACAAATAAGTTTGATAAGAGTTACAAGTTTAGCTTCATCCCTTCTAGATGTGATGCTATCAAAATACAGCACAAAAAACTACAAAGATCTAGATACATAATTTACAAATGTGATCTTTTTTGCAATGCTTCAGCTTGATATTTCAATGACTTTTTCAAAATGAACTGCTCAAGAAATGCTGATTTATTATTCAATGGCACTTTTTCTTTTTGTATGTATATATATTATATGATCTTTTCTTCTTGCTTCTTTTTATAGTTCGAAGGCTTGATCTTTATATAGTAGCTTTGGAGAAGATGACCGTTGTAGCAACGTTCAAATTTAAATGTTCATATTTCTTTACCAACGGCTTCATCTGTCTTCCTGGCTGATCTTGGAGAGTACTATTAAAGCATTTAATGCAAACATTAAATGCTTATCAAATATGTGTGTTTCTCTTATCTGATCCAGACAGCTACTTATCATCATTTCCTTCTACTTTTGAGTGCAGCAAAAGAGTGTTAGTGCTGAGTAGTTGGGGAAAGTGTAGAGCAATCCTTTTCAGTCTTTTTTTCGTGATCTCTAAGATTGTGCCTTTTTTGGCTTACACAAATGATTTGTCTTTTCCTTCTTTAATGTTCTTTGAGTCTTTTGAAGTTCCTTTTTGTTTGGTCTATTGAGGAATAACACATTAAAGCAAATACAATATCAGTCTTATTCATTTAATGTAAGTCAGATAGACTGTATGCTTTGTCTAATTTCTTTCATCTTACAAATGATATGTATTATCTTCATATTTCGTCTGATCTGTTATATTTTCAAAGAATGTTGACTTTTGCTTAAAGAAAATCCTTTTGTTTGTCAACATTAAAACTTAAGGGATTATTTATTGTCTTAATAAAGATAAGATTCTTGATTTAACAATTACTCTAGATTTAATTGGGTTATTTTCTTAGCCATAAAAGGTGATACTTTTAAGAAATTTTTCAAGGTTGTTCAAAATGAAAAGAATTTTAACATTATATCCATTAGGAGTGATCATGGTAGTAAATTCCAAAATGATTTATTCTAAAAGTATTATGAAAAACATGGCATAGATCACAATTTTTCAACTCCAAGAACTCCTCAACAAAATGGGTTGTAGAAAGGAAAAATAGATCTTTAGAAGAATTAGCAAGAACTATGTTAAATGAAAATGACTTGTCAAAATACTTTTAGAATGTTTCTATAAATACAACAAGTCTGTATTGAATAAGGTATTGATTAGGCCTATTTTAAAGAAAACACCTTATGAGCTTTATAAAGGAAGAAAGACTAATATATCTTACTTCAAAGTTTTTGGATGCAAATTCTTTGTTTTAAACAATGGAAATAAAACAACTTGGTAAACTTGATTCAAAAGTTGATGAAGCTGTCTTTTTAGTTATTCATTGTGTAACACCCCAGTTTTTATTTCACTTTTTATTTATTTTAATTGAGGGTATTTTGGTAATTTTATAAAGGTATAGGGGTGATTTATTAGCTTGGAACGGGCTGTTCCAGAATTGGAACTGATCATTCCAAACTACCAAATTGTATGGGAGTTAATAGCCCAGAACGGTCCGTTCCAGGCTATTAAAAGCTGCCTTAAACTTTAAGTGGGAACGGGCTTGGAACGGGCTATGGCAGTTGAGTAATAAATGCACACCAGAACGGGCCATTCTGGTTTGGGAACGGGCCGTTCAGGGTGTGGTTTTTACCCATGATTTTGGGGTCCAGAACGGCCCGTTCTGAAATTAGAACGGGCCATTGCCGGCCCACATCTGATCCATATAAATTAAAGCCTCAGGCACAGTTCTCCAGGCAGCCAGAGAAATTTCAAATAAGACTCCTTTGAGCACGAAAATTCTCTATCTTTCTCCCTTCTATTGTATTTCTTGAAATTTGTGTCGCATCTCTTTTTTCTCTCTCCTTCCTATTACATTTCTTGAGATCTGTGAGGCATATTGTAGTGTGAAAGGTCGCCACAAAGCACCTTTTTCATATTTGAAGATTCAATAGAGCTCGTTCAAGAGGTATTTCAATCAATCTTCTTCTCTCTATTTTATTTTGTTATCTTTGATAAATATTGTTATATTAAAAACAATCATGTAGACATTTTTGAGTTAATTGTATAATTTAAATTTCAAGCATGTAAATAAATATATTAATAAAGGGGATTAAATATTTAAATTATTAATTCTCATCACGTTAACTTCATCATAGGGTACCGATTGAGGGCGCTGTAGGGGTGCTTAATACCTTCCCTACACGTAACCGACCCCCGAACCCAATTCTGGTTATCAAGGCCATTATTGGATTTTTAAAAA